CTCACAATCAAATTGGGAAGAACAAAACATCTTCAATGTGATCTGTTCTTAGGAAAACTATTTTCATTTTCAGATATTATTTTCATTTTCAAATATTAAAAAATTGACAAGGGGCGCCTGGCTGGCTCAGTCGATAGAGGGTGTGACTCGATCTCAGGGTTGTGAGTTCAAACCCCACAATGGGTGTAGAGAGTAGTTAAAAAAAAAAATTGAGAACAAGTACAAATCATCCAAAAAGGGGAAAAAAGAGCTGTGTGCACAAGGAGTTCACAGCAAAGTTGCTCCAGGTTTTAGGTTTTAGGTTGCCCTTAAAGCTGCTTAGTTTGCACGTTTTCTTCACACGGCCATTTTTAGTACAGGAAGTGAGGAGACACCTAATTTAGTCTGGATGGTGGCAGTTACAATGGACATTTTTTTTTTAGGATTTTTTTTATTTGAGACAGAGAGCACGCACAAGTGGGGGCGGGGGCAGAGGGAGAGGGAGAAGCAGGCTCCCCGCGGAGCAGGGAGCCCGACGCGGGGCTCGATCCCAGGACCCCGGGATCACGACCTGAGCCGAAGGCAGACGCTTAACGACGGAGCCACCCAGGCGCCCCTACAACGGACCTTTTGAAGGAAGGTGGCCCTGAAAAGTTTCTAGCAAGTGGAGTTTGGTAAATAGAAATGAATTGTCTGTGGACTTGGTTTTTCGCGCACAGCGGGTGTGTGATGCGTGTGATGGGGGACAAGCCAGCGCCTCGTGTCACGTAGGGAGGCCGGCCCGTGCACAGGGCGCCGGGGTGGAGTGGTGAGGGGGCGCAGGGGGAGGGCGGAGACTCTGGGCATCCGAAAGTCTCTCAAGCCCCAGGCTGGACAGAGTCTTCAGATTGGCTTCTGTCAGCGCCTGTGGCTTTGGGCCCTGCACGGCAGTACCAGGTCGGTGGCATCCTGCCGTGGCCTGCCTTACAGAAGGCTCACTCCATGTTTGCTCTCTCCCTCCGGTCCTGCTGCTTCCTTCCCCCGTACCTTGTGCTTTTTAGTGGCCCTAATGGCATCAAGGTGGTTTTCCTCCCCCCGGTGCTGTGAACAAGGGGGTCTCCTCTTGCTCTCAGCTTGCAGGGTGGGATGGTGCCTTGCGGTTGTGAGTTATGGCCTTGCCATTGACTCTAAGAACTCTGGGAAACTTCTCCGAATGGGTTCTGAATCTGCAGGTACATTTGTTCCAAGGCACTTCGAGTTTCCTGAGCCGGAGCAGTCCTGCGATCTGGTGGGACACCTGGGGATGGGTTTGAAGTGGGTTCTGAGAGGACTCTTCGGGCCACAGATGGACTCGAGGGCCCCCCAGTGAGGCAGATGAGGTAACAGGAATGGTATAAACACGGGTGGACGCTCAGCTGGAAATGGCGGCAGAGCCCCCCCCACAGCCCCAGTGAGTCGGCAGTGCTTCCTGGAAGCATCAGAGGCCCAGTGTGGAACCCGGGCAACAGGACCGCCACCCGGGAGGTGTGCAGGGTGCTGTATGCAGCATACTTCAGAGGCTCCTGAGTCCCCACCAGGTGACAGAGTGGTCCTGGTGTCTACGCAGCAACCACCTCCCCCATCCCTTCCTCACAGAATCCTGATGGCTCCAGCTCTCTGCTCCTGTGAATGGCCCTGTGTTCAGGGAATGCGGCCCCAGCCCCAGGTACCTCAGCCAACCGTGGTTGGCCCATCTCCTTGCTGGAGATTGGTTGAGGCATGAACACATGACATATTCTGGCCAATTGGGACCTGAAAGGAGGTGGGGGATGCAGGTGCATGGGTTCCCTAACTCCTAGAGACACAAGCCAGAGACGGCCCTTTTCCTGCATCTGGACATGACACGCGAACTCCTGCGGCCGTCTTGCAAGCCCGAGGAGAGCTAGTGGGCCACAGAAGCCCGCAGCGTGAGGAATTCTGAGCCATGGGGACGGCCGCGTGGGACCATTCTGCCTTTGGGCTCCTCCGTGACCCAGCTCCTCTCTGGTGTAAGCCGGCGGATTTGGAGCTTTCTGTTCCTTGCTGTTGGGACATCTTAGCAGATCCAAGGATACGAAAATTCCTTGAGTTTACTTCCCATAGCCGTGGGAATTTTGACTCAAGTACACACGAGTCCTTCGTGTTTGGTATAATCAGAGAGGAAGGATCCAGGCAGGAGAAGAGGAAGGGCCATCATCTGGCAGCAGAGCAACGTGATGGGCAGGGTGGCCCCTGGGGGTGGTGGCCCTGCCCGCTGTGCGCACCCAGTGCGTGGGAAGATGCAGTGATGGAGAAGGGGTCCCTGGGAGGTGACTAAGGGAACAAAAAACTCTAAAATCAGAATAATAATAATAAAAAAAGCAGTGACAAAAAGATAAGTTTTATAAAAGAAAGAACCACCGATACTGGGATAGAAGAGCAGACGCTCCTCCTGGGCAGAGTGTCAGCAAGGAAGCAAAAGAATCACAGCCATAGGCAGGGGAGGTGCTCAAGGAGAATTCTAGTAGCGAGCGAGAGAGGAAGGAGAGTAACTCACCCCCACCATCACTAACGTCAGGTGCGCAAAAGGCCACTGCTTCTTTGAGTTCACTGTGTTGATTTAGCTTTATTTCGGCAAATACAAAATATTTATAAGAACTTCATAGGTTCTCTCCTCAGCAGACCCTCCCTAACTCCGTTTGCTGTGAGTTTTCCTGCCAATGGGGTGAGCAGAAACAGGGCCCGTGCAGCATGAAGGAGCTGCTGTATTCGCCTTGTCCGGCGCTGGCTGAACTCCCGGAAACCTACTGAGCCCGAGGTGTCCTGTCCCGTCAGGTCATTTTGGTGTTTTCCTGCATGCTGTCTGGGGAGATGCTCTTTCCCTGCACACATGCCCGTCTTCTCTGGAGGACCTTCGTCCCCCTACAGGTAGGCACCATGTCGCATCCTTGATGTCTCTCCCTAGCATCTGGAGGACCTTCATCCCCCTAATGGTGGGCACCATGTCACATCCTGGATGTCTCTCCCTAGCAGCGAGCATGGTCCCGGCTGCGTGATAAGCACTCAAATGAGCCTCCCTTCCTTACACGGAAAGTTAAGTCTCATGCTTAAATGGGAGGAGCTCTTCGCGGGTCTCAGCTCTGATTACACTGATCCGTTCCAGCACGGAAGGTGGGTGTTGAGTGAGGGTTTTTGCTAAAAGGACGCTCGAGTCAGGGCAGGCAGCAGCTTGAACCCCCGGGCACAACCCCCCACCACTCCGGGCACCTGGTGTGGAAAGGATTCGGGGTGCTGTGGGGAAGAGGGGTAACGGGTCCTGCTGCCTGGGTGTCCAGTCTAACAACGCTGCACCCTCCTTCTGCCTCAGAAGGCTTTCTGGAAGCCTCTGTAAGTGCATGGGAGGAAGCAGGAGGGGAGCATGCTCTTAGCAAACAAGTCTAACTCTGACGACAAGGATCCCGATTCCCGTAAAAGGAGGCCTAACTGTGGCAACTGCGCGATCCGTGTGTCATCCACCTCTATGGCTACGCATGGGGGAGGGAAGGGGCCCGCTGACGTCTGCACGTGAGGGCCAGGGCCGCCTACATGTCGTAGAGCCGGAGCTGCTCCTGCACGTCGCCCGCGGACATCTCCCCAAACGTCTCCTTGTTGTCCTTCATGAGCTTGAAGATGGCAGCCAGCTGCTCCTTCTGCACTCTGTGGGGAAGAGAGGACAGAGAGGAAAAGGGTGCTCCGAGCCCGGAGTGGGGGGTCGCCACGTGCGCCCGGGGCTGGGGCCCTGCGCTCTTGGCTGCTGCCGTGTCTGCTTTCCAGGACAAGAAGAAAATCAAACCGAAGCGAAACCCACTCAAAACCCACGAGCTCGCGTGGCCGAACGACCTCAGCTGGAAGGTTCTAAAAGCCGGCTCTATGTCTTGGGTGTTCCCTGCGGGTCTGGGGAGGACCCAAGTGACCCTGTGGGTTCCCCTTGGGCCCCCTTTTAGCGTTGACCTGGCACGTCCCGGGAGGTAATGGGGAGAGGCCCGTTCTGTTAAGTGGCTGGAGCGCGAGCCCGTGAAGAAACAGGTTAGCGACAGCCTCAGTTTAGAGGGATGAGGACAAAAACCATGACCAGCCGAGACGTAGGGGGCACACGCGGAGGTGTACATGGGGGCTTGACCCGGGGGGCAGGGTTGGCATGGGGTCTCACTGCTCAGAGGAAGGAGCGCCTTGTCCTGATTAGCACAGCTACCTCGTGGCCAGTGGGGCCCCGTCCCTCCTACCACAGAATGGGCTGCGCAGCTGGGACCGACGTGCTGTTGTCTTTGTGAGGCTCGGCCACACCATCTGACCAGCACAACACAACTCCCAGGAGCGCAAACAGTTTGCAAGGTCAGGGCAAGACTGCAGCAGAAAGCAGGGATGGTCTGGGGCTTGCTCGTTCCGCTCCATGCGCGGGGCTGTCAGCACGCTGGCTTCTGGCTTCTGTGGTGTCTCCGGGCCACCACACCCTGCACCCCGGCCCTCTCAGCCCCTCCCTGCAGCCAGAAATGCCAAAAAACGGCAGGTCCCGCGTGGCTGGGCTCTGGCATGACCTCTGGCCACCCAGCACCCAGAACGCTGCCTGAGGCGGGGCGGGCTCCGAGTGTCTGGTCTTACACGTGCGTCCCAACAGATTCCTCCTGCAGGAACCCCGTATCTCCCATCCAGAAGTTGGTTTTCTGGCTAGAGCAGCATCTAGAGACTCAAATACTGAAGTCCCAAATCCCAGCCTCACTTTGTCACCCTGGGAATGTGATTTCTACAGTCCGTTTTCCTCTCTGGAGGAGAAAGTGTGTGTTGAGCTCCTTGGACGGAATCACAGTCCCTCCCGCCCAGAGTGAACACATATTCTCAGATATTTTTGACGGCTGTGGCGCCTGGGCATTTTTAACAGGGTGGACCTATGACTTGCACTCTGCTAGAGAGTAATAGGCATCAAAATGAGAGAGAGCTCAAATTTTAATGGGTTTCAAAGGAGATTATTTCTTAAAAACAAAGCAAAACTGAAAAAACACACAGTAACCGAGATCATCTACTCAAAGTTTATTGGGCTGAACAAAGGCTGAATACACAGATCCAAGCCATCAGGAGTACGTGAGGCTTGGCGCCTACAAGCCACGTGCAGAAAGATTCCAGACAGCTAACTAGTTCGGTAACTAACCCGGGAGGGCGGCACCTACTTACTGTAGCAGTAAGATCCCAGCCTGGATAAGGCTGTTGTTGTTGCTGAGTGGGGACAGGAGTGCCAACAGGGTAAATCTACTCGTCACGTGGCTTGATGTGGGCTCGCCCACCATCGCCTTATCTGCACTATGGCCCTGAACCTAAGCTTGTAGGCCCAGAGGAGAAGGTCACTGGGAATGTAACATGCCCCAGGGGTTGGCATCCCGGCCTTCCATTAAATGGAAAATATTTTTCTATAAACTTACTGCTTTAAAAAAATGTTTTAACCAACACATCTAAAAACTGCAGATTAGTTTGGTATAATATAAATATTGTCCAATATAAAATTCCAAGAAACAGATCTGGGACTGATCTCATTATCTGGTGAAATTCTAACTTATCTATGACACCTTCTAGGAAACGGCATAGTCAAGAAATCTATTTCAAGCAGACTATTCTTATTGCTTCTGCCAAAGTTAAGGTGGAGATTCGGCTGAGCTGGTGAGAGCGAAAAGGCCTCTGAGCCACTAGAGGCCCGGATTCCAGCCTCCTCTAAATGAAGACTAAGGGCGACACAGATCTAGAGTTGTCGCTGGTTCCCTGCTGTGGGGCCATCAATACGCGTCCCTCACCCCCAACAACCGAGCCACCGGATAGAAAGAGGGAAGTGGGCCCCCAGGGAAAGGAGGACAGTCCACCCTCCCTGAGCAGCTGATGAGCACAGGAGCTCTGCCTCAGAGTCTTTCTCGGTTTGGCTCCAGGGAAGGAAAAGGCCAGTGTGGGCTGGGGGTGGGGTGGGGGCACTGGAGTGAAGCTACACTGGTTTAAAATGATAAGGGGGCTGTCACGGCTGATATCACAGGTCTGAACGGTGAGTGGAGAGTAGGGTTCAGCGATAAGAAAAACCAAAGTCTACGAAACCCTTGCTTAACCAAGCAATCCACACCGACAGGGACGAACACCTCTACCCTGGGGGCCAAGGTACTCCCGGCACCTTCCCCGCTGAGGGACAGGTCCTGATGGAGGGTCTGGGTCCCAGCGGATTTATGCAGGCCAGAGGCACCTGGGAGCCTGCATGGCTCCTCTCTGGGGATTTCCATTTTATCTCTCAAGCTTTTTAGATGCCAAAAGGAAAAGCCTTTAGCAGGAGGCTAAGGATAACTTCATTATTCTTCGGTTCTGTAAAGAGAAATAGGGAGAAAAGATCATTTATTTTACTTCTTCCATCTAACAAGTATCGTGGGGGAGGAAATGGGAAACGGGGATGTGGAGGAGGATGTTTGGGATTGCAGACGCCAGGCCGGACACTGGTTTCTCCAACACGGGGCAGTTTGCTTCTCGTCACCTGCAGTAGGACACTCTGTTCCCCAGAGCTGGCCTGACCCGGCACGGGACCTCAGCAGCCTGCCACACCCCATTCTGAGTCCGGAGCCCATGAGGCATATAGTTAGGTCGGGCAGACCCTACCTCTGGGCAGGTCAGATACTGGGTGCTTCCGATCTTTGACTACGTGCTTTACTGGGGCCATCCTATCACGTGCTTCTATTCCCTATTCCCGCTGGCGGGGTTTGTCCCCGCTGGGGCCACTGGCACCCTAGGATGCGTGTCCACCTTTTCTCAATGACACCCCGAAGGACGAGGGATCGCAGGGGACCCGATTTTGTCCCTCCGGCGCCCTCTTCTGGAGATCAGAGACACGCGTGTTTCCAAACATTGACACTGGCAAATCCTTTGTGGACTCACCAGGTTGCAGACACCAGAATATCCCACAGCCTGGGTTCCTCGGCCTCCTCTCCCCCTTGCCTGTGATGACGTACAAAACACCCTCCACCAGAGTCGTGTCCCCTTCCAGAAAGGTCAGGACATTCTGAGGACCTTCAGAATGGAGTGGGTGCTGGGGTCCCAGGTTCCCGTCTATCAGAGCCAGCCTGGTCTAGACTTTCCTCTGGACCAGAAGGTGGGAAGAACAGATGGCGCACAGGACAGGAGTGGGCAGGGCTGCTTTTTCTTTTTCCTGCCAAGCTCGCCAAGCTCTCCGGCTTCACTAGCTCCAGGAGCCGGAGGAGCGTCAGCAGCCTGCAAGCCCACTGTCCCAGCCACGCTCTGAAGCTAGACGTGGCACCTCCCAGAGAGACTGGCTGGCCAAGGATGCTGTGAGCCCTGAGGCCCAGGAGAAGCCTCGGAGGAGGGGGCAGGCCGTGACAGAACAGGGCCTTCCTTAGGCAGCAACCTGTTCTGGATTCGCAAACCCGGCCATTTTCAGCCCCTCGGGCAGAAGGAAGCTGACCTGTGAGCGATTCCAAGGATGGGAATGTTCATTTAAACACGCAGAGGAACGATCTGGGGTCTTGATTTTAGTCCTGCTTCCTAAGTGCTCTGCCCTGAGAATGTATAAGGTGAGGCTTTAGGGGATGCTGGATCATGTGCCCACTAAGGATTTGGGCTCTGCCTACTACTGTTTTATTGACTGAGTTGATAAATTTAGTCAGGGACTTGCAGCATTTATTTCTTTACTAGCTTGCAACTCAACTGGGACCCAGGGGGCCAGGAAAGGGATTAGAAACAGGCAGAGTTTGGTGGGAAAGAATCTGACAGGCAAAGAAGAGGGCACACTTTGCTGGCCTGCGGTTTCAGTAGTTTAACAACCATATACATGTTCTTCTTCATCCTGGCACTCCTAGGACCGTCTCCTAGACTCAGCTGGGACCAGAACGAGCTTGCGCCCGCCGGCTCTCCCGGGCCACACGGGAACTACCGTACTTAGATGAGGAGACGGAGCCAAACTCGCCAGCCTCTGCAACCCCAAGCATCACCACAAGAGGGACAGAAGCAGCTGCAAGAGGGGTGCAGGTCAAGGGGCCCCATGCCGTGCCCTGTGGGCTGGCCGCATGCAGGGGCAGGAGACAGCAAGCAGACGGCACAGGTGGATGCGTGCAACAGCTGTGGGGAGCATGCTGGGGAGGGGCAGGAATGAAAATGAACATGAACTCCAGCTCCACCCCATGAGGACGGCATCACACTGAGCAAGGACCGTGTTTAAGGGCCGCAAAGTCCACCAGCCCCTCCTTCTCAACTTGGGGCACAGCCTGCAGATGAGGAGAGGAGAGCTCCTCCTTCACCCCAAGAGCAGCCCTAGGGCACGGTCTCCACCCCACAGAAGAGCCAAGGGTGAATCGGTGCAAGAGGCCCCCCAAGACCCTGTCGGGGAGAGACCCACCCTGGGCGATGCAGAGTCTGCTGTCTAATCATAACAGAGAAGAGACTTTCCCTCCCTCTTCCCGAGGTCCTGGCTCGGAGCCCAGGGACGGTGGCCATCTGACCCCGCAGCCTGAGGCCTGGCATCTGTCCCCTAACTGTCCTTTCTGTTCCAATGGCTCCTCACATCCACAGGGAGCACCTGCCCGAGCCCCCGGAATCAGGCCTGTCCTGGCCACAGCTCTGTCCACAGGGACCTCTGCGGGACCCCAGGTGCATCCCGCCCTCCCTATTCTTAATCCAGGGGCTGCAGATGTTTTTTGTAAAGGGCCTGATACTGACTCTTCTGGGCCCTGTGGGCCACGTGTTCTCTGTTGCAACTACTTGCCCCGGCCACAGCGGCGTGTAAGCCACCACAGACCACGGGAAAACGAAAGAGTGGCCACGCTTCAGTCACACCGAGCTTACTGACCAGGGCTGCAGTCGGCCACTCCTTCCTCTGACCCGGAAAACCTGCCTGTCCCACCACAAGGGTTTGTTTTTTTTTTTCCACTCGAGGCTTGCTTCTTAGGGCAGGACGAAGTGGCAGGGCGACACCCAGTGGTTCCCGAGGGGGACGACAGTTCGGCCCCAGCCTCACAAGGGGGCGCTAGCTCCCCACCAGCTGGTCCATGAGGCCCACCCGGAACTTATGTCCACTGGGCTCCCAGAACGCTGCAGCCCTGGGAGGGGGGCCGGGTCACACAGCGACCCCCGTGCTAGCGAAGAGTGAGACCGCTTGGTGCACAGAATGTACCAACTGGTTATGAAGGCGGCGGAGGAGGGGAGGTTTAGACCGCGACACTCATGTTGGGGACACATTACCAGACAGGAGGAGGGAAGCACCACTGGTCTAAGAAGTCAGTCTCCTTACCAAAAGGATTTGCAAGAATATGTGTGGCTCAGGACCTAAGGAACTTGCTACAGGGAAGTGAGGTCAGAGGTCAGCTCAATCCTGAAATATAAAGGCAGCAAACCGGGTCACACTCAGAGGCAGTGTCACCAGCACCGGGGGTAGGGGGGGCTCCCATGGAGGCCACCTTCCCCTGCTCCGGGTCTTCCTCAGGCTGTGCCTACGCTGCCACCCCTCCGCCCCAGGGGAAGAGCCTTCCAGGCCAGGTTGGGAAGAGGCAGGTGACAGTTGGGGGAGGGGAAGTGGGGATTCTCGCAGGCAAAGCAGCTTCTGACTTTTGAGGGACCCTGAGTGGCGTGGCCAGCGGCAATGAAAGGGTGTGTGAGTTATGGACTCGAATAAGCCCTCCTGTCCTCTGTGACCCTAGGACCCCAGCCTGGGCTCCCGTTGAGACGCCTGCTTGAACCGAAGCACAACGCACAGCACGCCAGGCTCCAGGCCGGCCCAGGGGGGGCGTGCAGGAGACAGCTGGGCTGGGGGTCTGACCACTGGTTCTCTCCCCAGCTGTCCTGCTGCTTCCAGAGTGTTCCTTAGCACCCTGGCGGGATGGAGGGAGGCCCACGGGTGTGCAGTGGGTGTCTGGCGGGGGCGCGGGCCGTGAAGCTGAGAAGCTAGGCAGCTGCAGTTGTGTGGGAGAACAGATACAAACCGGCCGCAGACGCTGGGCGAGGAGGGGCGGGAGGGAGGGGAGCTGCCAAATGGACGAGCAGGGAGGATCGCGCCCTGTCCTGCAGTGACAGATGGGTTTTGTCATGAACTCGTCGTGTGAGGGATCTGCTCCAGGCTCTTGCCGGCCTCTCGCTTTTCCCTTTCCAGTGGGGGCGAGGCGGGCAGGGGAGGGGTTCAGCCGCCTTGCCCTCCTCCCCAGCTCCCCCGAGGGGACTGTCTCCAGGGGAAAGCGAGCCTGGCTGAGGAGAGCCAGGACAGGAAAGATCCCCTAAACCGGAGATGGGGGAGTGGCAGCGGGTGGGGGCAGCGGCTTGCCCGAGTGCGCAGGGGCATGACGGTCAGGGCTCGGCGGCTGGTGCCCTGCGGTCCCAAGAGGAAGGTGCACGGCCTACCTCTGCTCCTCCTCCAGCTCCTCTTTGGTCATCATCTTCTTGTACTGGTTTCCCCGCAGCTTCCCGGGGCTGTATTTAAAGGAGAAGACCTCTTCCCCTGCAGAGAGGAGACGGGGTCAGAGCCGGCGCAAGGGTCTGAATGCTGGTGGCCTCCCCCAGACTCAGGGTCCCCTTCCCCTTTTGTTAGTTTCAAAAGGGCCGTCTGGGCCAGAGGGGGTCCCCCCAGTTCCCCACACAGGTGCTGCTGGGCCTCAGAGAGGGTGCTTGCGACGTTTCTTCTTGCCGGACACTCTGTCCGTGAAGTCCCACGGCAACTTAGGAGCTCCAAGTGGGGATACAGAGACAAAAACAAAACAGCTGGGGAGAAACCAGTCCCCCTCCTCAAACAGCACAGCTCCAGCCACCAAATGATGGTTCCCCTCCAAGACTGGGTTGAGCCGTCCACACGGCAGTCTGGCTGCCCCGCTCTAGCAAAGGCTCCCGCCAAGCCGCTGTCTTGTGAGGATGGCCTACCCTCGTCTTTGAAGCCCCATTACTGGGGGGCGAATCACATCAGACAGAGCAGGCTGTGCCAGGGTGCTGGGCTCCCTGACTCACAGGGACTCCTGAGCCTCCTGCTGTGGTCCTCCAGCTCCGGGGCCTGGGGATGCCCACCAGTGATTAGAAATCTGAAACAGGGGCGCCTGGGTGGCTCAGATGGTTAAGTGTCTGCCTTCGGCTCAGGTCATGATCCCAGGGTCCTGGGATCGAGTCCCGCATCAGGCTCCCTGCTCCTTGGGAGCCTGCTTCTCCCTCTGTTTCTCTCTCTCTCTCTCTATCATGAATAAATAAATAAAATCTTTAAAAAAAAAAAAAAGAAAAGAAAAGAAATCTGAAACAATGCATCCAGCCCACGGTAGGACATGGGAGTGATGTGGCATTTTTCACACCGTTTTGAATTTGGGCATCACAACTGGCACATATTACTGAATAGTTGTATCAGGATTTGCCAACCCCTAAGAGCAGACTCCTAGCTGCCTTAAAACAAACGCTCTCGGAGCGCCTGGGTGGCTCAGTTGGTTGGGCGACTGCCTTCGGCTCAGGTCATGATCCTGGAGTCCCTGGATCGAGTCCCGCATCGGGCTCCCTGCTCGGCGGGGAGTCTGTTTCTCCCTCTGACCCTCCCCCCTCTCATGTGCTCTCTCTCAAATAAATAAATAAAATCTTTAAAAAAAAAATGCTCTCGAGGCCTGAGGAGGGCACACCAGAGGTCTGGGCAGAGGAAAGCAGGAACGTGACACAGGGAGCAAGGACAGGGGCTGGGCACACAGATGCGGGCGGCAGGGCAGAAGAGGAAAGCCCTCCAGAGCACCGCCCTGGGCTGAGCATCCAGGAGGAGAGAGTCCCCTCGGGAACTGATGCCCTGAAGTGGTCCTTCAGCCCAGCAGGTGTAGGGCAGACGGCCTCCGGCCACCCCCGGAACAGAGACTGAATGGCTTGTCTTGTGTAATTCCCAGGAAGGCTTAAAGAATTGAGTAAGGGAAATGTGGAGGCCACAGATGTAGTCCTTTTCAGTTCTGTTCTAGAGGGTTTACCTCTTTGTCACTCCAACGTCAGGAATCTCAAACACCTCCACATCCTGCCCCAGGCCACCCTCACCTCTGGCTGGGGGCTGTCCTGCCTGATCAGACAGGCTGGTGTGGGCCCAGGGGGGAGGAGAACGCCTTGGCCCCTCGGATTCAGCTTCTCTCTGGGCTGAAGGAAGAAGGTTCTGGATGCAAATTCAGAACCCAAATGTTATGAGATGGGGGCCATGTTCTCTCCAAAACCTTGCCCGGGAGGAGAAGGCTGGTGGGCTCCACAGTCCTCCTGTGGCCCCCTCACCCCAGCCAACTGCCCAGGGGCTGAAGCCTTGCCTTAGGAAGAAGTTACTACATCTGTACAAGGATTCCTTTGCTCTTCATTCTTTCTGCAAATATTTAGTGAGCACTATGCTAGGGGCTGGGGACTTAGCAGTGAATAAAACATACAGCAAGCAAAGATAAGTCAAATGCAGTCTGAAGTTGGTCACGCGTGCTCTGCAGAAAGGATGGGGGTGTGGGAGGCAGGGAGGGAGCTGCTTGGAAGCTTCACCGGGGGTGGGGTGGGGGTGGCATCAGGAAGGGTTTTGCAGATGGTAGTTGAGAGGGTGTGGTGAGTTGAGCCCTGCGGTGTCTGGGGAGACAGATCCAGCAAAGCAAGGAGGCCAGTGGCCCTGGGTGGCAGAGGGGGGGGCCAGGTCATCAAGGGCGGGGGAGGGGACTTGGTTCTTCCTCCGGGTGAGATGGGGCTTGGTGCAGAGGCAGGGGAGTGAAGTCCCACCGCTCCTCACTGGGGACTCCAGCCCCCATTGGCCGGCTCTTCCTCCAGGCTGAGCTCTGCTCAGGCCAACAAGCAAAGGCGGGAGAGTTCCATTCCTTGTGGGCCCACAGAACTCCGGGGCTTCCAACAGCACCGGGTGTGGGCTGCCTGCATCGGGCAATCTGGGTACTTTGCTGAGTGATTCAGAGCTGCTGTCTGAGGGGCCTGGGTCCTTGGTGGTCCGGAAAGCCCCAAAAAGCCTGCCAGAGGGGCGGAATCACACAGAGATTGCGGTCTCAGCATGAGCTCACAACCGACGCTCCACGCTGACCCACCAGACAAAGAAAACCAATTAACCTCAACGTCAAGGTCACTGTGTTGCTATGTTTTAGAAAAATAAAACATAAAAAATTCTGCCAGCTGGGTACGACTCAAGGTTTCCATTTATGGGGCAGGTCTGATTAGTCTGATGATTTCGGGGCCAGGCAGAACAAACGACTAGAAAAGGCTTTCACTGAATCACATCGAATGTGGTGTACCAAGGGATACACAGTCGCATCCAATTTCGCTAGACCGGGAGGTTTCGATGTGAGGGCCTCCTGGGGGCAGGACTTCCTCCTGCAGCCTTCTGTGAGTCACCAGGTCGCTCAGGGAGGGTGTCTGAGCGACACTAATCAGTTAGCCTGAGAGCTGAGCTGCTCACTGCAGAGGGACTGGGGGCCTGCTCCTCTTTTCCTCGGACAGCTGCGGCCACAAACCTCCCCTCCCTCGCCTTGTCAGAGCTGGCAGGAGGCGGCTGGGGGGTGGGGGATGTCCAGGGGGCAGCAGTCAGACAAGGAGGGAGGGCCCCTGACCAGGCAGGGTGTGAGGCTGGTGTGAGCCTCTCCTCGTCCTGGCCAGGGGCCTCTGGCAGCCTCGGCTCCAGCCCCTTTCTGTGTCCCCGAGTCACTAACAGGATCCTGACTTTGGGCATCCCTGCAGCCACCTGGGGCCACGGGGCAGGGATAGACCCCAGGGCCACAGTTCCTGTGCATCTCTAACCTGCAGATGATGGAGGAGAACCAAGGGCTCCAGGGAGAGCAGGTGACCCCCCTCCCACCTCCGCAGCTGCCCGCCCTTCCCTCCTCCTCTGCGGCAGTACTGAGAAGCCCCAGCCCCATGGGGCCTCAGTGGGGAGCTGTGGGCCCCCCAGCGCTGCCCTGCTGCTGGCCCACACGCCCACACCAGCCGTGATCACGGCATTCCTGCAACCCGCTCTTTCCACTGCCCCCGCCAGCAGTCAGCTGAAAGCCACGGCAACAGTCCCACTTTTTAAAAAATGATGAAATATTTCAAACATAAACAAAAGTACGAGTAATAAGTCCTCCATGTACTTTCCATATAGATTTAACAAGTGTTGACATGTTGCTTTTGTTTGCTTGTTTTTGTTTTTTTAAAGAAATAAAACACGACAGACCCAGCAGAAACCCAGACCATGTGTGGTTCTGTCTCTGTCTGTCCAGGACACTGGCCCCTGGGGCTGCCCAGGGCAAACCCACGGCCTTCCACCCGGTCAGGTTCCAATTGGCCAGGTTTTTTTTGTTGTTTTTTTTGTTTTTTTTTTTCAATTGGCCAGTTTTCTTAATGCTCCCGGTCCCTCCCGCTTGCTTGTCCTGGCCGGCCAGAGTCTGATGGCAGGGAGGTCTGGCCAGTTAGCCTGAGCTGCTTGGAAATCAGGCGTCTCCTCCCCTGGGGCCTTCATTGTGCAGAACGCCTGGGCAGTGGCCCTGTGAGTGGCTTTTGTCCCCATCAGATAGATCGGGAGACGCTTGGCAAGAAACTGAAATGCACAAGCAGTGACCGGAGGGGAGCTAGGAGGCAGGGCAGGAAATGGAAGGTCAGGGTGCTCGATTTACTGGCGAGATGGGCCTTCTGTATTCGGAAGACAACTCAGTGTGAGACAGGAAAGTGGGGAGAGAAAGAGCAAAGGCGACAGGGCTGGGGGGCTGCAGTCTGGAGGCTGGGTCCTACTCACCATCCTCTTCCTCAGGCACTGCTTGGGGTTGGCCCTCCTGGCCATCCTGCTCCTTCTCCTGCTCCTCTTCCTGCAAGACAAGGAGAGAGTCAGCACCAGGTGCCAGGAGCTCGAGAGGGTTCACTCTGATACGGTCATCCAGGTGCCTGACTCCTTGGTGAAAGCCACCCGACCCTGGGGGCAATGGTCAACCAGCGGGTGGAAGCTGTGTGAGCTCTGCGCAAACGCTGTGTGGCCGAGATGACAAGGGGGAGGCTGTGGCCCAAGGAGCTGTGCTTTTGACCTTTGAACCTCAGTCCCTTTATGCTTTCTGGGTGGGTGGCCTGTCAAAGCCTTTGGATGCCATTTTGGTAACAGGACAGGGGACCGCCCCCGCCCCCACCCTGCTCCAGTGACTAGAACTAAAGGCACAAGAGGAGGGCTGGCGGGCCATCTGGAGCCCAGACAGGGCTGGGCCATCACAGAGGAGCTGCGCTCACAGGCGCAGACTCTGTCTCTGCCTCCTGGCACCTCGTTTCTACCCCTAACAGTTTCAGTGTCCATCTTTCCAAAATTGGAGCTCCACCTCCTTCAGGCCCAGCGTTCTCCCACCAATGGACTCAATAAACAGATGGCTGGAAGGAGTGTCCTAAGATGGCCTTCTTGGGAGGAAGGAGTGACTTCAACCTGCAGGAATGCTGGGGGGGACTGGGATGCGCTGATCCTCCAGCTACAGGGATTTTAGGCGCGGCCCAGGGAACTGTGAGGGGAAGCCAGAGGGCAAATACGGACACATCTGCGGGTTTAGAGAGGGAAGCACACACAGGAGGAGAAAGTCGCCCGCAGTGGAGAGGGCAGCACGCCGAGGCCTTTGGGACTCCACTCCCAGGGCAGGCGCACAAAGCGGCCTGCAGCAGGCTCCCTCACAAAACAGGGCGAGCGAAGTTGGCCTGCAAGTTTGCACAAGCCCAACGGCCGGTGATGAGTGGCAAACCCCGAAAGGCCTTGAGTTTCCTGGGACTCACACAAAATGCAGCCGGGAGGGGCAGGGCGGGAGGCAGGAGCCGGACTTCTCTGCTTAGCAGTGTCCAGCAAGCTCAGCACCACCAAGATGGGAGCCACGCTGCCCTGAGCACCGCCGTGATGCCCCCCAGGATTTTGCACAGCAAAGCGTCTTTGTGGCTGTGGGGAAGGGGGCAGGCCTCTTCGGGGGAGGCAGGAAAAGGAGACACCCCTTTGACCCAGCAAACCCACTTCTGGGGATCTGCTCTGGACTGGAAAACCATATGTTCAGGTTTTTATACAAGGACTCTGTGTGCAGCAGAAAACACGCCAAACTGGAAACAAGGAAATGTTCATCCTTAGAGTTAAATCTCTTACAGTTAAATATATTTGGTTAACAAGTTCACCACGATATTAATAGGTTAAAATTGGCACGGTATGCATGCACCATGCGACACTGTGCTTTAAAAAGGAGGCAACCACAGAAACTGATGTGAGAAATGCATCAGGGTAAATCACCAAGAGTGAAAAAGCAAGGGGCAGTGCAATGTGAGAGGGGCAATCTTCTTGGTGTAAATATAAAAATGGAAAGGCACCTCCATGCTCATAAATGCTGAGGAAAGGTTTTCTGGAAGGACACGAAAGGCACTGTGATCAGTGACTACCTTTGGGGGCGGGGCTACTTGGGGGAGGGGCGGCCCTTCTCTGTTCATCTGATACACTTCAGTATATTTGGATTTTCTAATAATATACATGAATATGCATTAATTACTCCTAACATATTTAAGGAATGCTACACAGGGGTCTCTGAACTGTGAAATCTGATTTTCTCTTTTTTTAAGAAAGAGAAAAAGAAAAAAAGAGAGACAAACAGCCATTAACCCATTCAGGGCTGGACCCCAGAAATCAGCCCAATATCGAGACTAGAGAGGTCGATTCTCCCATTATGTGTGAGGGACACCAAGATAAAAGAGAAATAAGCACAGTCCCTCCCTCAAGGAACTCATGATCCAGTTGGGAAGACACCTACACAAATAATTGCCATCCAAGGTAAGAACATCAAGAGCCGAGGCAGACCCCACCATCCCAGAGGGACACAGTGAAGATTGACCTGCCAACACTCTCCCGGGGGGAGACTGGTCTACATTTAAATCTTGCACTTGACTTCTGAAGTGTGCTGTTTCTTAAACTGTGGTTGTGGTCCCACTGGCAGGTTAGGAAAGCAATTTAGAGGTCGCTCCTGATTTTTTTTTAAAATATGCAACCCGAGTCTTAGTGTGGTTTTCAACTTTAATAATTTCAGAAGCATAAATGCTAAAAACATACCAAAAAATGACATTGGAAAGGTTATTTACATTTTAAATATATTGATTGTTTCTCATTCAAATTCATGTAATTACCACAGTCCAGCGCTAGATATAGCTCTAGTTGATTTTCAAACTTCCAAAAAATATTCATGGCCCGAGGTTCAGTGACTGAGGGACCGCCTTTGTGACATCAGCCTTTTGATCTTACGAGGATTTGATGCACACCTGACCGCCTGGACATGACTTCAAGGGAGGCTGACCAGCTCACCAAGGTGCCCGTGGGAGAGGGCTCCTCCACCTGCCTACCCATCCGGACTCTGGCACGCACAAAGAATTAAAATGAAAAACTTGGCATTCAAATGTCAGGAAGCTAAGTATAAGAGGAATTTAAATAAGTAAATATTCAACGGATGTGTGTTGTAGCTTTGTAGCATTTACATTTCTCAAGTTATTAAAACTTAAAACTGCACTAAGACTTTGGGGGTACCCCTGTATCCCGGAATTAAATGAAAGATAAATAGTGTTATGTGTGTGGTAGACAGAGATACCATTTGATAAAATTTTTTTCTTTTTTTTTTTTTTAAAGATTTTATTTATTTGACAGAGAGAGACACAGCGAGAGAGGGAACACAAGCAGGGGGAGTGGGAGAGGGAGAAGCCGGCTTCCCGCCGAGCAGGCAGCCCGATGCGGGGCTCGATCCCAGGACCCTGAGGTCATGACCTGAGCCGAAGGCAGACGTCTAACGACTGAGCCACCCGGGCGCCTCCCGTTTGATAAAATTTCTGGCGTGCTTCTGTGGCTTTATATATGGGGATGCAATTTAAAATAGATTTTTTTTATTGGAGACTTCATCAAGTTTGGAAAGTAGTGCTGAGTTGGCCACGTCCTGCTTTCTGTCTGTACAGAAATCCCCTTCCTTCAGAAGATGCCCCTTGAAGCCCGTGGGCCCGGTGGGCACTGCCCCAGGCAGTCAGCGCCCCTCTCGCAAGGGACCAGCATGCAGAGGGGACCCATGGCCCAACTCTGCTGGGGGAGAAGGGAGCTCTGGTCCCCGAGGTGAGAGCCCCTGGCTGTGCTTGTCCCCGAGGCCACTCCAGCCTGACCTTTCCCTATCCGTGAGCAACTCAACTCCCAGTTCTGCGAAAGCTGACCGAGCCAAGTGGCTGTCACCCTGTCACTGTCTGATCACACCCTACTTTGCAAGCTCAGAACGGGTCAAGTCCTCGTGGGAGAGGGCTACCTGCATCCGATTCCAGCAGCACAGCAGCTGAGGGCTGGGCAGTGACAGAAGCTTCCAATGGTGCTGCGGGGAGGTGCCCCCCCCAACCCCCCCACCTGCAGGCTTCTCTGGGTTACTTTAGATGACATCACCATGATGGAAAGGAGTCCATTATTAAACAAAACACTGTTGGGGCACCTGGGTGGCTCAGTCGGTTAAGCGTCTGCCTTCAGCTCAGGTCATGATCCCAGGGTCCTGGGATGGAGCCCCGTATCGGGCTCCCTGCTCAGCGGGGAGCCTGCTTCTCCCTCTCCCTCTCCCTGCTGCTCTGCATACTTGTGATCCCTCTCTTTCTCTCAAATAAATAAGATCTTTAAAACGCCCCCCCAAAAAACACTGTTTATTGCATTTTGCCCTTATTTTATAAAAAATGTGTACACGAAAGGAAAACGGGAAGTGCTGATACCAGTAATAAGATGGGCGCGGGTCTCGTACACAGTGTCCTTGGGACAAAGACGGCCGTCCTTTTGGAGTTGGTGGCCCTTGGGCATCCCTCCAGACGGTGAACTGTGTGTGTGACAGCGAAGGAGGGCGGTAAGGTGCAACCACGCACAAAATGCTGGAGCAAGAGCCGTCGGAAAGGCCGTACCTCTTTACCTTCCTTCTTACGACACGTCCCACCTTCCATCCTGCTTTGGCACGTGCAGTTTTGAAGGTATGTTTTCTGGAGCACATTGTGTGTCTAAGCAACAGGGTAGAGGGGCCCCGAGGAGGGCAGCTCGGCTGAGCTTGAGGGGCACAGTGAGGCCCCAGAGGGGACGCCAGGCAGGGAGCATCACAGCTTTTGCAATGACTTGCTGGAGTTTGATGTGGTTGCAGGGGATTGCAGGGTGGGGGTCAGGAGGCAGGGCTCAGACCGGGGAGATCTTACAGGGGACAAGGCGACGAGGGGCCCCCAGCAGCTTTTAAATGGGGAGAAACGGGAGGAGACTGGAATTTTTGGAGCAGGAAGTGGAATGGCATAGTGAGGGCAGGATCGGAGGCAGGAAGAACTCCTAGAAGGGGGTTCAAAGCGCAGGTAGGGGATGTCAGGCCTGAACTGGGAGGTGAAGGGACTCTGGCCCCCAGCTCAGTGTTTGTTGAATGAATCAGCGAAGGACTGGCTGCCCCTGGCTGAAGGCAATCCCCGGGGGGTCTCGAGGTCTGAATCCCACCCACCCTTGGGCTTGCTTCCCCACATAGCTGGGCTAGGACCATGCCTGGGGCCAGCACAACCCCACAGGTGCTCAGAGTGCTGACTGCAAGCCAGCAAGAGGCCATCACTCTCCATTTCCGGTCAATGCCCTTGGTCCTGAGCGTGTTGCAAGGTACCCTGCATTGTGCGCTGAATTGTGTCCCTCCCCACATTCATAGGCTGAGGTCCAAACTGCAAGTATCTCAGACTGTCACTACATTTGGAGAGACGGCCTTTGAAGAAGGAATTAAGTTAAAATGAGGCCGATGGGGCGGGTCCCAACCCAATTTGACTGGTGTCCTTTTAAGAGGAAATCTGTAAGAAAGGACACACGCGAGAGACACCAGGGGTGCGTGTGCTCATGGAAAGACCCTGTGAGGACGTGGCGAGAAGGCAGCACCTGCACACCAGGGACAGAGGCCTCGGGAGAGAGCGGCCCTGCCCGCGCTGGGACCTCACTGTTCCGGAGAAAAGACAGGTCTGTGTTTCAAGCTGCCCAGTCTGGTACGTGGTCGCGGCAGCCCTAGCAAGCCAACACACCGTGCTCTAATGAAAGTAAACCAGTTTCGTGCAAACTGTGAATTGGCGACACCCTCTGAGACGGACAGCTGGTGTCACCCTGGCTGGTCACCAAGACAGTCTGGGGCTGGGACCCAACCCCCTCACCTCACTGACCAGAGTCCCAGCATTCCACTACTGGACAGAGCCCAAGTTTTAACTTCACATGTCCCGGGACACTTCTCCAATTCAGCCGTTTCCTCCAGTGGAGGGCTGGCTGGGGGGAGAGGCCAAACACTGGGGCCAGGGGCTCCCGGAGGCCAAGGAGGGAGGCTTCTCGGAGCCAGCGCGAGCCTGCAGGCAGCACATTGCCATTTATGGCTGTCCTGGCGGATCCAGGCCTGATGCACCGCGCTGAAGCAGAGGAGGGAGAGAGAGAGGGGCACCGAGACAGGGGGTGGGGAAGAGGCAGAGAGAGAGAGAGAACCAGACATCTTTCTGTCTGCCCGAGGAGATGGTTCTGCCCTGGGGTCCTGCACTCAGGACCTGCTGGGACCCTGTGACCAGCCACCAGAGCTGAGTCGGGCTGTGACTACAACAAGCCCCCCGGTTAATCCAGGATGATTTTAGAGGACCACAGGTCCACTTCCACGGGGATGCCTGTCCCTCCCTCCCCTGCAGCAGCCAGCACAGAGAACAGGAAGCTCTCAAGGGGCCCGCACGATTCCCCATGCCCTCCTCCGCAGCCTGGGTCAGGCCCCATCCACCGCAGCACGTCGGCAGGTTTCCAAGGGGGGCACCAAGACTGGGCAGGGTGTGGGGGCTGCCTTCCGGCTCCTACCGCAGGCAGAGTGGGTCTGACAAGGCTCTCCCCTCTTCCAGAAAGAGTCCATTAGGCCATCGGGCTGTTCATCCTGTGCGTTCAGAGGGGCACAGCTACGGGCAAGCAGAGGGCGCAGAGCTGGCGCCCGCTCCGAGCGCCTGTGCTGGGCGGGGAGGGCAGGCCGGCAGAGGTCACGGCGGCCCTCTCCGCCCGCACGTCTCAACAGCTCAGCCACTGCGCACCTAAGTGACAGCTCAGGCCGAGGACGCTCGGGCCAGCCCTCTAAATCCGTATTTGCAGCTGGGTAAGGCACATCCCCTTAGACAAGGAACTGACGTCTTCTTATCCTAAACTGGCCCCTCTCAACTCGTCAGTTTTTCTCTGCGGTCACAGCATCTTTGACACTTTGTCACAGCCTGGGAAGGGTGATCCAAGCCAGCCGCTTCCTTTCCACTTCTCGATCACCACCCCCCCGCCCCCATTCTCCATGCTCCTGCCAATCACTCAGTGCCAGATATGGATACGGCACCGTGTCCTTGACCTTACTCTCCCCCAACTCATTTGCTCTGAGAACATCTTCAAATGCCAGCTTTATGATGTTTTTTTCCTACTAAAACCCTAAAATGACCGCTGCTGTGCTCAATTCAAATAATCCCCGGCCTCTGAGGTCCTCCTGCTTCAGAGGCCGTGAGGTCAGTCCCTAATGCTTACTGGGAGGTGCTCTCCTCTCCCGCCCACGGGGGTGGGGGTGTGCCATGGGAGGGCAGGCAGGAACTTGGGGTCACTCTTGGAACCAAAGCCTTGGGCACACGGTCTGCCCTTCCCCATTCACCTCTGGGTGCTCCTCCTTCCTCTATCTGCGTGGGGTCCTCTGAGGCCACAGGACCTGGTGAGAATGGTTTTGAGCTCAGTTTTTATCCTGGCTCAGCAGGCAGAGCCCTGGAGCTCCATGGGGGGCAGGGAGGTGGTACTGAAGGGATTGCTGTAAGGAGGGAAGTTGGAATAGAGGGGCCAAGACCCCCCCCCACACACACAGAGCAGTTCTGCTTTAGCTCTACACACTGGACTTCCATCTAAGATTGAAGAAGGAAAAAGGTATCTAGTGCTTTTAAAAATGTGGGAAAACCACTGATCTAATGTGGCTTTGACCCAAGACAAAACCCTAGCTGCACTGATGCATCGCCAGTTATCCAGTCTCTGTTTGAACACTTCTAGCCTCGGGGAGCTCACCACCTTACAGGGCAGTCTGGGGCATGACACACAGCTCTAGAGCATGCAGACAAGACACAAGGCCCTGGGCCAGAGGCCTGGGGCACGAGGAGAAACGGCCTCTGCCCGCTGCCCGGGGCAGTGCTATGAGGAGGCATCATCTGCCTTGTGGCAGGGGCCACCGGCATTCCTTCTCTTCGTCGTTCTTGCCGCTCACACATTCAACAAGCATGTACTGGGCGCTGCTGTGTGCTGAGCCCGCTGTAGCAGCTGGGGATGTGGCCACGAACGTGGCAGGCCCATCCTCCTGAACCGACATCCTGCTGCGGCAGACAATGGACACGAACATAAAGGATAACCTCAGACCACACGGGGTGCCGTGAAGAAAGCCAGAGAGGGGGGTGTGCTGGAGTAGGGGTTGGGGACTGTATGTTCACGAAGGTGCTCGGGGACACATACACTTGAAAGGTGAAGAGGAACAACTGTGTGGAAGTCTAGGCCAGGAAGGGTCTGCCAGGCAGAGCGAAGAGCAAATCCCAGGCTCCAGCTGAGGTGCAGGTCTGGGACACGGCAGAGGGGGCACGGGGACAGCTGGGACAGGATGCAGAGCCGGCCACAGGGGCCATGCTGAGAGTTCGCAATTAATTCTGCATGTGACGGGAGCCATCGCAGGGCTTGGAGCAGGAGAGTCTGGGATGTGGTTTCCATGTGATAAAGATGGTGCCCGTTGCTAGATGGAACGTGGGGGGCGGGCTGGAAGCCTGGGGAGCCGCTGGGAGCAAATGGCACAGCCCAGGTGAGCCACGGACCGCAGGAGAGAGGATAGCCTGACTTCAGGAGGTACTCCGCAGACAGAGGGGACAGGACTTGCTGATGGAGGGACTTCAGGCAGGAAAATAAGAAAACGAGGATGTCGTGTGGGCTCTCAGCCTGAGCGGCTTCGGGGGGCCGTGGAGGAACTCCAAGCAGATGACTAAGAACAGTGGGGGCAGGGAGGGACCGAGGGCAGAAGTCAAGAACTCTTAACAGACACGGGGGTCTCAGGTGGCCTCAGGAGCTCACTGGACAACCACGGGCAAGTGTTGAGGAGGCGGCCGGCCACCGGAGGTCAAACTCAAGGAGAGGCTGGGCACCATCAGCTATTGATCACGCTGACAGTGGCCAGCGTGTTCTGGAAGACAGGCCTAGAAGTGAGTCGTCCACTTGATATGGGCATGAGCTTTTCCAGCATGGACAAAGAACAAAGGAAGAATACTGGGTAAGAGGCTGACTCAGGAGGCAGGGCTGGGGGAGGTGGGGAGTAGATTGAGATCTAGAGTTCACGGCCCAGCACACAGGCCCAGCACACAAAGCCCGGGGGCAGGGAGGAGCCAGGCTGCAGAGCCGAGTTCAACCAGCCAGACTAAAAGGGCCATCCTGGACTCCGACCTCACATCCCAATCGAGGGCACATTCACAAGCCCTACACACACTCTCTTGCTCAGATGGCCAAGCATGCCAGATCCAATCCCATCAGATTAACGGTTTTGGGCATTGTTCCTACAAAGAGGATTTGGAGAGCATCAAAAGCCTCATTAAAAAAAAAACACCCAGGGGCAGAAATGGGCATTCTCCCCTTATCAGCAAGGATTAGGTGGAATTTTTGTGTCTAGGTTTTGCGGGGGCAGGGGATAAATAGAGACGCTTGAGCACAGGGAGGAGAGCTCATGGACTGACATGACCAGAACGAGAAGGGTGGGAGGAAATGAAATCGCTGTGTTGGGGACCAACCAGGCTGAAGAACTTTGATCAGGACCAACTTTAAGGGTCATAATAGAAGACAGGTGTTTAGTGTTTAAAGTCTCTAAGGAGGCCTCAACCACAGGCACAGGAACTGGTGAGACTTCATGAAGAATAAACATAAGAATGCTGTGACCCCCCAGGAGTAGGGTTTACTGATCTTCACAGGACACCACCGGGCTGGAGGTATTTGCTTGTCTTGGGATTGAGCTCAGAATCTGAGTCATCAGCACATCAGCATCTGGCCAGGAGAAACACTAGTAATACCAAGGTCACAGAATTAGGTTCTTGCTGAGAACATGCCCAGGGCTGTCTCAAGCAGAGGTTGGCCAGAGTTAACAATGAGTGCAGGGAGTTCTTACTTGCAAATACTAGACACGGGTGCACATGCACAACCCCCTCCCCCACAGGCCACGAAACAGGAGCTGGTAATGGGAAAGCTCTAGGAGAGATCAGAGATGGTTTTAGTTCAACCCCTTCCATTTGGGGAAACTGAGGCCCAGAGGTTATATGACTTCCCCCAGTCCTATGGCTATTCAGAGGCAAAGATATTAGTTGAACAAGTACCATGAATTCTCACACCAGGTTTCCTTCGGACCAGTTAATGTCATTTGCTCTTCTTCAGCCCCGGTGGCCAGGAGGATGTGACCGATCCTTCTCCCTCCCGGGCAGGAGGGCAGGGACACCCTGCGCAGCATCCCAGCCCTCCTTCATGGCTCGGACTGAGCAGCAAGCCGCTCTGTCCGTGCAGAGCACCCCTTACAGGAGGAGGTTTCTGAACCCCATCAAAGTCCTGCTTCGTTCATCTGTCCCTAACAGCAGCCAAGCGATTGTGGTCGGACTCAGGTTGTTCCAGAAATGCCTGAGCCACCAGAGATTGGGCATTTCTCAGGAAGCACATCCACCAATGGTCTCAGGCTGTCTCAGCCCTCCCACACTGTGGCTGAGGCCGATGGTCTGGGAAAGAACAGGGCTACAAACAGAGACTGTCTGAAAGGGCACATGCTCCACGTTTCCTTTCTAACCCTCCAAACCTAGACAGCTTTTTTCTTAAGATATGTTCTTTTTTTTTTTTTTTTTAAGATTTTATTTTTTTATTTGACAGAGAGAGACACAGTGAGAGAGGAGCACAGGCAGGGGGAGTGGAGGGGGGAGAGGCAGGCTTCCCGCCGAGCGGGGAGCCCGATGCGGGGCTCGATCCCAGAACGCTGGGATCATGACCTGAGCCGAAGGCAGGCGCTTAACGACTGAGCCACCCAGGCGCCCCTTAAGATATGTTCTTTAAAAATTTACTACTTCCCACTGAGTAGAAAATTCTAACTGGCAGCTACATTATCTGTGTGCAAACAAGACTATCTCTGGAAGAAAGAACAAAGTTGAGCCATTAGGAAAGTCCCCAGACTTCTCTCTCACATGGAAAAAAAAAAAAGTATGAGCTTAAACGACTTCACATAAAACACCCTCTTGCACTACCGAACACTGAACTCTTGTTTGCAGCTCTGGGCATCGTCCTCTGTTCAGGGATGTTCATCACTGTAATTACTGTGAACACACTGTTTTATGTTCTGCACTTTTCCTTACTTATTTCTACCAACTTGCTAATTAATCCAATGTCCTAATTAATGGACATTTGGGCTATTTCCAGTTTCCTTCCCAGCAAATCACTAGACCTGCTATGGATGGAAAGTCTGTATCCTCCCCAAATTCATATGTTGAAGCCCTAAGCCCCTGTGTGATGGTATCTGGAGGTGGGGCCTTTGGAGGTAATTTCGGTAACATGAAGTCCTGAGAGTGGGGCCCCCAGGAAGGGATTATTGTCCTTATAAGAAGAGGAAGAGAGACCAGAGAGCTCTCTCTCCACCACGTGTGGACACAGCCAGAAGGCGGCTGCCCGCGAGCCAGGAAGCAGGCTCTTACTGGGAACTGAATTGGCTGGCACCTTGATCCTGGACTTGCCAACCTCCAGAGCTGTGAGAAATAAATG